AAATCGTTGTGCACGGTATCTTAGTACCGTAACGTCGCCGTGGAAGAGGTTAAAGTGCGAGAGACGATGTCACGTTGTCGATTATGCGCTCCCTTAATTGTTGAACCGACGATGACAGCCACAATATCGGCCAGATTTAAACGAGAGGTGGCTAACTGGCGGCCTTTGCCCCTACTTTTCGCAAGCGTTACCCCCTCCACTGCGTCGACCTCTTCTCTACATTGAAAATTCTACACCGTGCATGAGTCCCACTCTCTCTCTCTCTCAGTCTGTTGATTTCTCCCAAGCAAATGGAGATATATTGTTTCTATAACAAATTTTTACGACCACTGTTTCTGGTAGATACGAACTATTTTCTATAATCACAGTTTTTCGGTGCAATCAATTTGATGGATTAAATTAATACAACTTTGTAGAAAAGAATCTTCCTGTAGCAATCTACTTGGTCTCGTTTCAAGCAGCTTTTATTTTGACTATTCTGAATGCGTTTTTTCTCTTTCTCTCCTAAAATATTTTAACATCACGTAGCAAATGAAAAACTGTTCCTTCCTTTGGAACAGAATTGTAAATTTCTCGTAAAAATAGTAAAATTCACACGTATGCGGGAACACTGTAAAATTTTATTTACGACTAAAATCCATCACGGTCTTGAAGATTGATGTTTCCTCTCTACAACCGACCCGATTTTCTTTCGTCGTTTTATCAAACTTTGAACGTTAGGATTGAACGACAAAAATTCGAGAAATCTTGACGTTTCGTCATTTAATCTTAATGTTCGAAGTTTAATAAAATGGCCAGAGAAAAATCGTTAGCTAAAAAAGTAGCAAGTTTTAAGAGAAGACTTCAGTCTCTACTACCATGGCAGATTCAATCGCGAAGGAAATTTTTTTAATACTTTCGAAGGCATTCGTATTTCGACAATTTTCCAGAAGAAAAATGGCCCTACTCTCCCACTCACTACATGATCTAAAAAATGAACTTGGAATCTTGGCACTTTAAAACGAGACCAACTGTAAACTGTCGTAACCATTCGCAGCACTTTTTCATCATTCACGTGCTCAGTTATAGTTCTCGATGAGAGTCTTCTCTAACAGAGGCGCGTGACTTCAAATTTCTAGAGCCTTATCCTCTACGAGGTGTAATCTTAATAATCCTGCCTCTCAGAAAAATAAAGAAGAAAAAAAAAAAGGAAAAGATGTGAAGAAGTAAACTGTCGTAACCATTCGCAGCACTTTTTCATCATTCACGTGCTCAGTTATAGTTCTCGATGAGAGTCTTCTCTAACAGAGGCGCGTGACTTCAAATTTCTAGAGCCTTATCCTCTACGAGGTGTAATCTTAATAATCCTGCCTCTGAGAAAAATAAAGAAGAAAAGAAAAGGGGAAGATGTGAAGAAGTAATCGTCGAGCAAAACGACGAGGAGAACGTGTCCAACGTTTACTCACCTTTTATGAAATCGACGGCCATCTCGAGGCCGTACGTGTCCTTATCGCAGTCGTCGAGGATGTGCGCCCCGATTTTCACACCTGGCACGATACCCTCGTCCTCGTTCAGCTTGTCCAAGGTGTAGAGCATCGCCTCGAGGGCTTGCACGCCCCCCTGCGGCATCACCGGGCCGCACGTGACCGTGTCCTCCCTCTCGTGCACCATCATCAGACCACCGATCACCAGATCACCCTCGACCACCGCTTCTTTCTTCACTGGCCAGTTGATCTGCGTGGGCGCGTTCTGATCCATCGATCGGAACTGTCGGCGACCGTGTCGGATCAGATGATGGGTCTGCGGGTTCTCGAGGCGAAAGCGACGCGCTCGCCCGCCGATCCGATCATCCCTCTTTTCGTACCATGCCTCGTCGTTTATCGATCTACCACGGTCTACGACAGTCCGGACGTGATCGGCGAGCTTCTCGCGATCGATCAGCCACCGGCGATCAGTGTAGTAGTAGTAGTCGTCGTCGTCGTCGTGACGACGGATCTGCTCGAAATTGTAATAGTCGTCGCTGCTTGGCTCGCGATGGGCCGAGCACACGCAACCGAGCGCGGCAAGCAGCAGAAGCTTCATGACTTCATAGCTCTCTGGGTGGTTGGCTCTTTCGAATAGCGTCGACGGCGCGTTCCTCGTTCGTTACGTTCGAGTCTGAATCGTCTGAGTTCAGAGCGGTGACGCTTGTTTCGGGTTTGTCGAGCTAGGTTTGCCCAGTCGGTCGATTTCGCTGCAGATCGTTGTTTTCGGGGCAGGATATCCGGGTCGTTCGCGTGGAGAACGGTGCATCGCGACGGTGGCCGGTGACGGTACCGTAGCTTGTCTGTTTCGGAGAAGAAAGTTCCTTTCGTTTCACTTTCTAAGGGCAGTTGGACTGAGACGGTCATTCGTGTCGTTCGACAATCGAGCAGACATGAAGAATGGGAGTTTCGAATTAACGACGGTTGCGAGTGTAATCGTTCGTTTCACCTGTGGCTTCCAGTTCTTTCTAACAATTAGCGCTTTGTTTCTACGACGAAAGTATTCGCACACTCGGACGAGAAAAATTTGCCTGCGTTTTCAGCTGTTGCAACTGCGGATTTTTACGCATTTCCAAGTTTTCGTGAACATAATTGAAGAAAATACGTATTGTTATTAAATGGTAATGGAAAATACTTAAATCAGAGGTGGCTAACTGGCGACATCTACCCCTACAATTCTTTTCACTACGTTGGAACTTTCTCACCGTGCATGAGTCCCACTCTCTCAATCTGTTGATTTCCTCTTACCAAGTGGGCAGATCGATGCAATGGAGGGGATAGATCAGGAAAGTAGAGGCAAGAGCCGTCTTAAATGGACAATACCTATTATTATTTTATATATTTTTGCATATTACGTGCATTGTATATATCTTTGTGTCTTCAAATTTTTGTGTGCGAATGCATAAACATCCGCAGTCTAGTTATAGTTGATAAAAAACAGTCATAGCCTTATTCTAGAGTACGGAGCTTCCACTTTTTTTTT